GGGGTGCGTGGGGTGCAGGATTTCATGTCCTCCTGTCTCTCCTGTTTCTCAGGGTGTGGACAGCCCCAGGAAGCCTGCTCAGTTCCCGCCCTGCACCAGTGCTGTGACTACATCTGTTGGGTTCACAAAATGGGGTTTTTTCAGCATCACCTGAACTCGCCCGGGTGAGAGGAAATTTTTTTTTTTTTTTTTTTTTTTTGAGACGGAGTCTCGCTCTGTCACTCTGTCACCCAGGCTGGAGTGCAGTGGCCGGATCTCAGCTCACCACAAGCTCCACCTCCTGGGTTCACGCCATTCTCCTGCCTCAGCCTCCCAAGTAGCTGGGACTACAGGTGCCCGCCACCGCACCTGGCTGATTTTTTTGTATTTTTAGTAGAGACGGGGTTTCACCGTGTTAGCCAGGATGGTCTCGATCTCCTGACCTCGTGATCTGCCCGCCTCTACCTCCCAAAGTGCTGGGATTACAGGCGTGAGTCTGCACCGGGCCCAGGTGAGATTAATTTTTAAAGGGCTTTAAATTCGCAATCTGCTTACTAAACCCAGTGTGATTAGGATTCTAACCCGGTTCTCTCTTCAAGTATCTGCTTGGTGGGCTCCCTTGCTTCCTGAAGATCTTTGTTTAAACATCATCATCACTGTAGCACCACGACCTTCCTGACTTTTCTGTTCAGATTTCAGTCACCCTCCCCCATATCCTCTGCTTTCCCAACTCCCTCCCCAGCTTCATATTTCTCCATAGAGTGTGTCACCATATGGGGAAGAAAAAAAAAAAAAACTCTGTTTTTTACTTACTTATGTGTCTACTGTCTGTCTCTCCCCTCTAGAGAGAAAGCTCAATGAGAACAGAGATTTTGTCTGTTTTGTTCACTCTTTTGATCGGGTCTGTCCCTAGAGTTTCCAGTAAACCACAATCTCCCCTTAACAAGGGTCTAGCCTGTTCAGCTAGTGGTGGTTAGCTCATCAGCCTTGATCCTGGCTAAACCTCAAACTTCCTCTTCTACAAAAGCCCTGGGAAAATTTTCACTAGTCTCTAAATCACTTGGAGTCAAACTTTCCCTTGGCAATGAGTTTACTTTTACCTTACAGATACTGAGTCCGGGGACTGACCATGTTATCCTGTTTCTCCACTCCCACTGGCTGCTAGGAAGCTCAGAGTCAGGATGTTGCTGATCTCTAGCAGGGGCTTAGCATTTAGAGGCATGTATTTTGTATGATAATATAACTTCTGGCTTCAGCTCAACTTCCTATACTCATTTTACCTTTTGTGCATTGTTCTTATAACAACTTTGTATCTTAAGATACTACCTCCCTCTTTGTAAATGTTCTCCTTTTCTGGAAGGAGGTAGATGATGAATGGATGGATAAAAGGAAAAATGGATAGTTGAAGGGAAGCATGGAGGGAAGGAAGGAAGGAAGGAAGGAAGGAAGGAAGGAAGGAAGGAAGGAAGGAAGGAAGGAAGGAAGGAAAGGAGAAAGGGAAGGAGGGAGGGAAGGAAGGAAGGAAGGAAGGAAGGAAGGAAGGAAGGAAGGAAGAAGGAAAGTAAGGAGAAAGGCAAGGAGGGAAGGAAGGAAGGAAAGTAAGGAGAAAGGGAAGGAGGGAAGGAAGGAAGGAAGGGAGGGAGGGAGGGAAGGAGGGAAGGAAAGAAGGAAGGGAGAGAGGGAGGGAGATTGGTGAGAGCGTGAGGGAGAGGAGAGTCCTATGCTAGGATCTTGATCTGCCATTACCTCTGGCGATGTGCTACAGGACCTGACGTGCTCCCCCAGAAGGTGGGGACACACTGTCCTCCTGAAAGGCCGCTGCCATGAGGCTGTGCATGTGGCATGGAACTCAGAGACTACCTCCAGAGACCTCTCATAGGACAGCTGGTCCTATATCTACAGGATCTCTCTTCTCTTGAGTCCCTGCTGAGTCTCTGAGTGCCTTGGCATGCTCCACTGTGTTTGTCTTTCTCTTCATCTTCATCTACTCTGTTTCACTTATAGAGAGGGGGACATTCTTTTCCTATGCAGAGAGGAAGAAGAAAAGGAGGTCCAACAATGAGCTGCCATATAGGAGAGATGAAATAGAAAGCCAAACCAAACATCTGTGATTCTAGGCATCTTCATGGGATGGCAGCAATCTCAGCCCTTTGGAATTCCATCAAGAAACCAAAATCAAGCAAAGAGGACTGGGGGGACTGGAATGAAGCCAATGACTTTACCACAGAGACAAGACACTCCGAATTAGCTCTTACTTCAGCACAGTTCGGACAAGCATGGACTCAGGGCTTTCAAGTTCACATTCACAGCTCCCTGACCTTTCTTCTTTGCACTGGTGAGGCCCATTTTCTCTGGACCCCATCCCACTAACATCCTGCATCTCACAATCATTCAGTACCAACACCTGCTTTTCTGAACTAGTCAGTATGGTTTCTTAGTGTTATTTGTGTCTTCCCACTGGTCTGTAAACCAAATGCAAAATAACATCATCTCCCTCCTGTTTGTAAGTTTCCTATTTCTTTTAATCTTGTTGATAGTTCTTGTTCTTTCTTTTGTAGCTTTATATAAAAGTTAAAAATGCAAATATCTCTTTCATGCCATTATTACCGAGAAAAGTTGTGAGACTTCAAAGGCTTTAGGCCAAAAAAAAGAAAAGAAGCTGAATCCATCCTTAACTTTTGGAAGTCAGTTCCCAGTTAATGTGCTCATGAATTTCCTGATTAAATGTGAACAGAAAGCACGAGCACCCACCCAGAGGACTCCTCACATCAGACCCGCCCCATCCCCAGCATCGTCCCACCCCCACAGAGCTCATCTCAGAGACCGGGGGCAGCGGCAAGATCCCGGGCTTGGCACGTTCCGGCACAGAGGGAAGACTCATGTGCGGAAGGGGAGTGAGAGAGGGGAGAGTGGGAAGAGGTGAGGAGGAGAGGAGGGAAGGGGCTGGTCTCACAGGGACATGAGAGCCCAGTTTGGGGTTCAGCAAAGCAGACGCATGGTTTGCAGCACAGGATAATAACAACCGTGGCCGCTGTGTGGAGACTGGTTCAGGGAGAGGGTGATGAGGCTCTTGCAGTGACCCGGGGAGAGATCAAGGCGGTCTTTAGCTGGTTATTTGGTTACTTAAGGTGGGCTCATGGCAGTAGATGTGGGAAATGTCATCTTCCCAAGGAGGAACTGACGGGATACTGATGGGCTGGGCAGATGAGGAGAGGGAAAGCTAAATGGAGGGCACTGTTGAGGTCTCTGCCCGGCACTCTGCGTGGACATCGATGCCATCTGCAAAGGCAGAGGAGACTGGGAGAGAGACGGTGTAGGAGCTGCCAGGCAGGCTGCAGGGCACATGACATCTGAACCTCAGGAGAGAGAGACGATCACCCCCATTGCATCAGACCACTGTGGCAGGCACCACTAGAGCCAGCTAAATACCTAGTCTCATCATTTTACTTTTACTAAAAGAGCCTCGAGGAGGGGCATCAGGTGACATGGTATTCACTGTGGATTGAATTGTGTTCTCCAAGAATGCAGGTTATATAGTTACCTGTGACTATGACCAGGTACCCAGGTACCTGTGACTCTGACCTCCTTTGGAAATAAGGTCGCTACAGGTGTGATTAGGTAAGATGAGGTCCTCCTGGAATAGAGTGGACCCTGATCCAATATGACTTGTGTCTTTCTAGAAAGATAAGAGACACAGAAACTGAAATAGGCTGAAGGACATATGAAGACAAAGGCAGAGATTGGAGCGATGGGTCCACAAGTCAAGGAACCCCAAGGACGGCCTCCCACCACCAGAAGCTGGAGAGGCAGGAAGGATCCTCCCCAGAGCTTCAGAGGGACCAGGGCACTGCTGACCTCTTGACTTTAGACTTCTGGCTTCCAGAACTGTGAGAGAATCCATTTCTGAAAGCTACCCAGTTTGTGCTGCTTTGGTTTTGGAAACCAATACAGTGTCAAGCAATGAAATATAAGCTCAAATCCCTGCAGGCATCCCTTCCCTTGTAGAAAGAGCGGCTCTCAGACCCCTGTGCTTCCCCTTCTACCTGCCTGGGACACGTACAAACAGCAGCAAGTGTGGGGGCCACCAAAGCCAACAGCCCAAACACAGCAGGGCAGAAACACAGGATGCAGCCTCCAAAATGTTTATCCTGCATTAGAGCCAAACAGTAAGAACTCCAAATTTACACAGCCTGACATTTCTGTCAGACATGATGGTAACAAGTTAGAGTTGGCATCTCTTCCCAAAGAAATGAAAGAGGACATCACTTGAAATCAATAAGAATAAACCAGGATGCTGGTTATCATTTTAAAGAAAGCCTTGCTATAAAATCACAATAGGCCAATTAAAGTCACTATCAGGAAACAGAAGAATAATCAGCATAGAGAAAATAAATCCAGATTATAGTGAAGGGGATGATTCTCGGGGAAGAAAAGAACCAAGCCTGGGCACACAGAAGGTTCAGAGAGTCTGTGATAAAATTTGCAATCAGAGTCTGCACCAAGACAGTGTCTCATAAAACTTTTAAACCAGGGAAAAAGACGGAATATTCAGCAATCACCAAGCAGGAAAGACAGGCTACAATGAAAGGTATGACTCATAGCTGCCTTTGATTTCTCCAGTCCTCTCACTTCCCAAAGACAAAAGAAACACATCTATAGGCCTCAGCTCTGCAGAAAAGGATGTGCTCTGAGAATTAGTTACTCAACAAGTTGTCATCCCTATCTGAGGCTACAGAATGGCGCTTTCAGACCCACAGAATGTCCTTGTATGGCTTGTGAATCCGTACCTCAGAGCCCGTAATAGACTCTGTTGCGTACAAGAACCTAATACACACTAAAATAAGCAACACCAAACACTAGGGGATAAAAAGTTATTCATTAAATTAAGTTAGGTTAATTTCATAGGGATTTGGAAATTCATTTAACATTATGCCCCAGAATAGACTCCAGATGCTTGAGGGAGTTAAATCGTTTTAAATATGTGAAATTAGAGAGGAACTGGCTAAAAATAAATTTGAGTATTTACCTCAACTTCTAAGAGAGGCGAGCTTCTTCAAAATGGAATCAATAGAAGAAATTTCAGTGAAAAAGAGCATTTGGCTATTTCACTGAAAATTAAAATCAGCAAAACCCAACAAACCTAAAATTTAAAATCATAAAAAACTATAACGTGTTAGGTACATATCAAGTGTCAGGTGTGGTACTAGGCACTTCCATGCCCTCCCATTTCATCTTTGAGGCAGCCCCAGGAGGAGGTACGGTGACCCTATTGTGCTGGTGAGGGAGAGGGGGGCGTGTGCCTCCTAGAGCCAGGGTTCCCCTGGGTCAGTCGGACACCGAACCCTAGTCCATCCCGTGTGAATAGAACAGACAGGAACTAGGGGGAGACGCATTTAACATTTGTGAAAGCTTATTCCAATAAATTAGAGAATCACCAAGATATTCTAATCATAAAGGGTCCACACATGACAGTTCCTGTAGCACAGGTGCCATAAGCAGCCAGACACAGGGGGCTTCCTGAGAGCCCCTAACCCAACATGCCTGGGGAGGGGTCTCTGGCAGATCTGACCACTCTCAGGGCCACAGAACTCAAAAGGGAGCTGAGAGAGGCTCAGGAGACAGCCCAAAAGGCCACAGTGCCCCCTGAGACGAGGCCTGGCCCCTGGGAAGGCAAGACAGTGTCTGGCAGACACCACCTGGGTGACCTAAGTGAAGCATGTGGGTCCATCTTCAAAATAAGAGCTGTTGGGAGGGTTAAACGAAGCCACAGATGACAAGTGCCCAGCACCTGGTAGGTGTTCCAGGGCTCTGTCCCGGTTCCCAGCCCTCCTGGCACCTCCTTCGTGTGGGGCTGGAGGAAACCAAGGCGTGTATGCAAGGAGCTTGTGACAAAGTTGTTGAAGCAGTGATGGAGGAAATGGGACAGGGGTGTGACCTAGTGATCAGGAAGCTGCGTCTATTTCTAGGCTGCAGGTGCAAAGGGGGTGGTGGGGTGGGGGTGCTGTGTAGCAATGAGAAGGCCATCAGCACCCTGGCTGGAGGCAACAGCCCATGCACACACGCCTGCACCCACCTTCTAGTCTGATGCAGAGGTCTCCCTTGGCTACTCTCGCTGGAACCTGGCCAGCCAGGGAGCAGGGGTATATATGGCTTCCAGGCTTCTAGCCCTAGCAGTGTGTGGTAGGCAAATAACGACTCCTCTAAAGATATCTACATCCTAATCCCAGAACCTGTGGATAGGCTGAGTCACACTGCAAGAGGGAATGAAGGCTGCAGATAGAGCGAAGGTTTCTAACCACCTGACTTTAAAGTAGGGAGATTATGCTGGATTATCTGCATGAATCCAATATCCGTGAAAGTGGACGAGGAAATCAGAAGAGAACCATCAGAGAGCAACACGAGGACTCATCCAACACTATCAGCCTTGAGGATGGAGGAAGGAGGATGAGCAAGTGCCTCCAGAAGCTGCAAACGGTGAGGCTCCCATTCTCCCGTGCAGCCTCCACGGAGGGATGTGCGTTGATTTGAGCCCAGTGAGAAGCGTGCTGGATTTCTACTCTACAGAACTGTAAGCTAGTCACTTTGTGTTGTTCCCAGCCACTACCTCTGTGGTAGGGTTAGGGTTAGAGTTACGGTTTGGGTTATCACAGCAGCCACAGAAAAGAGGGGTCACCAAAAGAGAGGCTGCCTGCGATGGGAAAGCCATGGACCCAGGATCCTGCATTACTGGAGCCAGGTCTCTCTGTTCTAGGGGCCTGGAGACACAGAGAGGTGGTAGTATTATCGCTGCTTTATAAATTAAGAAACCAAAGGACAGAGAGGTCAAAACACCTGCCTCAAGCTACACGGCACTCTGCGGTGGTTCTGGGATTCGAGCCCAGGCAGCCTGACTGGGGGAGTGTATTCTCATCCACTCCCTGTCACTGCCTACTGCACGATAATTTGGGTGTTGTGTAACTTGTATAGCAAAATACTAGAAACAATCTCATTGTCTAGCACTAGGATTAAGTGTTAATAAATCATCCTAAGGCATCAACTCATTGGGTTTTATGAAGGCTTTCAAAATAAATATGAGCACCATGGGAAAGTATTGACAAACAACGTGAAATGAAAACAGCAGGATGCAGAATCATGCTTACCTTATGCTTACATGATAACAATATGCCAAGGCCTGAAGCAGGATCATGAAGAAACAAAGACATCTATGAGGGCAGTAGGAGCAAGCGGCCCGCGTGTCCTTTGATCCCCTGCACATGAAGGTGGCACCGTAGTTAGCAGCATGGGATGCTCAGAGAACAGAGGGAATTTGTTGCCGGACGGATGGACCGGCTCCACCAGACACCACCTACATTCTGTAAGTTATCAGAGCCGCTGGGTCTCATGTACAATGGGAGCCATAACACCTCCAGGTTCACAGAGTTGCGGTAAGCATCAAATGACACCATGTTTGCAAAGATGTGGTGGTTCTATAAACCTTAGCTCCACCTGTGTCTCCCTGGCTTTTAAGGTTTTGTTGTTGTTGTTGTTAACATTGTTACATTTTTAAAAACTAGTCCTCCAAGGTGTAGTTTGGAGGATTTCTGAGGCTAACTCAGGGAACAGTGATGAAGGGGTCTCAACAGTCATGATGCCCATGGCCCCATCTTCAGTTCTATTGAGGAGGGGAGGCTGCAGGTGTTCAAAACGTACAACTCTCATGCATTTGACACAGTGCACTCCTGAGGCCATTGCCATGGTCTCAATAACAAATGCCCATCATCCTGATAGTGTCCTGGGCCCTTGTCACCCCCCTTTTCGCCCCCTGCCTGATTCCCAGGCAACCCTCATCTGCTTTCAGCCAAACCGGTGGCTTCTAATCAGTAGTGTTCATTTGTCGTCAGGGATGGTCACTGTCAGAGTTTCTATCTTTTTTTTGTAATGAAATAGGAATGAAATCATGTCATTAAGCACTGATGAGACAAGGCAATTTAGCTACCAGTGGGTTGCATATTCATAGCTGAGCCCTAATTAAATAACTGTCAGAACAACTCCTTTTCACTATCTCCTCGGGTGTGATGTGTATGCAGATAACCAGCAGATGGGTGAGCAGCTCACAACTCTCCCAGCTGTCCCTTGACAGGTATTAGACATCCAGGTGGAGCCTGTCTGCGTTTATTCATGACCCCAACACTGGGTAGTGCCATCCCTGCTGGCGGGCGCAGGCACTCTGATTTCCACCTCTCTCCTTCTTCTTCCCTGGCCTTTCCTTCCTCCTTCTGCTGCAACTCCCCCGCCGTGGAACATTGGAGAGCCCTCATGCATTCAGCATCTCTCGCTCTATTTAAATGCAGATGGGAAAGAGCAGCTCTCTTTTTGGCCTGTTCTGTGCTAGTCTGACCCTTCTAAGATCAGAGACGGTCCAACTCCAGGGGGCTTGAGGCCATGTCTCTGGGTATTGTTGCTGTGGCTGGAGCAATGTGCAGAAAGTCCTTTCCAGGACATTTCTCCCACCATCCCACAGTTTATCTGCAGCCGGGTGGGGTGAGAGGTGGGGGTGCATGCGGACTCTGACCCTGGTTTTGAGCCTCACATTAATCCTAACTACGCCTCTTTCTTCCTTCTTCCTCAGAAACCCACGTGGTCTCTAAAACAGGTCTTACTCCATTTTTTAAACCAACAACTATGAAGTCCCAGAAAGGTTATGCACATGGCCAATGACACAGCTATTAAGATCCGACATCGGCTGACTCTCATTCCCAGGTTTTCCAAAAGCCAAAATGCCCCAGTAACAGCTGACATTTACATGCCATTTATTTTGTGGGCCCCTCTTGAGTTTCGTGAAACCCAAGGAGCGACTAGACGATCCCAGGGGGGCTACTGGATTCTTGTCTCTTGTAGAAGCACAGAAGAAGGTTACCTCTTCTGTCCCTCTGACATGAATGTTCTTGAACTGGGCCTGGATCCAGGTAACTGGAGATGTTGCTATGTGTTGAGAACACATTACTTTCAATGGCAAAAACCACAATTACTTTTGCATCAACCTAATAAATGTTACACACTCTAAACCTTATTGTATACATTATTGTAATAAATAATTGAATTAACTTTTATAAATAATATTTAAATATATTAACAATATTAATATCTACTGTTAATATCTGATACAATCGATGTTTTAAATTAATCATTAAATCTCTAATGAATAGATATTTATATTTGCTGAGCAATAACTTGATCATTGGTGAAGCTGGTGGTGGGTACATGATAGCCTGTTTTACTATTCTCCCAATGTTTAAATGTATTTGAAATTTTCCGGAGTAGGGGGTTGAGAAAAAATTAATATGACAAGCCTTTCTTCCTTCCCCAAGGATACATAAAAGTCTTAGAGCTTTTCTCCCTGGTGTGTTGTAGAGGGACTTGGAGGCCCCGGACAGATGTCCAGATGGTGGGTTCAAGTTCTGCTTAGTTTTCACACCCACACACATATTCACTCACTCCACTTCTATGGTGAAGTTCGACTTGTTGGTATCCGTTTTTAGGCCCTACATTTTTCTTATTTGGTCGGCTTAGAGGGACAGAGAAGGAAAGAGCATTTCTCATCCCGGAAGCTTGAGGGAGGTGAGGAGCCTTATTCAGCCCACCTCGTCTGGGAAGCCTTCTGGGAGGACATGAAATCTGAGGAGGGCTTTGAGCCGTTTTCTGCGAAGACAGGAGGCTGTTCCCAGAATCCGTAGGCCGAGTCTGTGCAGGCACAGATGCTGCGGCAGAAGGAGGAGGCCAAGGGGACACAGGCCTGAGCCCCACTCTTTGCTGCGTGAGACTATGGCAGATGCATCCATTCACATACCATCCACCCAAGCCAATGCCAGATGCTGGGACACAGGGAAAACCAAGGGCTTGATCCTGTGCTCACAGACTCCAGAGCTCTGGGGCAGGCAGCATCATAAACAGCTAGACTAGTGTGATGGCGTTAGGAGAGCAGGAAGCTGGGCGAGGTGTGTGAGGACTGCAGGAGGCAGGCCACGCTCCGGAGGGGCAGGCATCCTGAGAGACCAGAGAGGGTGACACCAAGGGTCAGGGGTGGTGGGAGGGTGGATTCCAGGAAGAGGGTGAAGAAGAAATGAAAGATTGGAGGTGAGAGAGCTCAATGTGTTTCGGCTTCAGTTCGACTGCAGTCTGGAGTAGCGGTGGGCGGGGTAGGTAAAAGAATCAAGAGATGAGGCTGACAGTTACAGGGGCTCATCGTAGTATAGCCCATTTGAGAACACAAGCATACACTCTGTTTTTATCCTGGCAGCATAGAGGAAAAATAATGGAAGGGGCTAGATTGGAGGCCAGTTGGGCAACTGTTGTAGAATGAAGAAGGAGAAGAGGCCATGGCCCCAGAAAGCATGGCAGTCACAGTGTGCACAGGCATTGTGGAAGCCCTGGAGGTGGCTGACAGCTCCCACTCTGGGACAACTCTGACGGCATCGGCTGGGTACTGAGAGGTATCATGCTGAATCCTGCTCTCAAGAAAGTCACAATAGCAAAGACAGGGAATCAACAACCCAAATGGCTGTCAAGAGTAGACTGGATAAGGAGAACGTGGTACATATACACGATACAATACTACGCAGCCATCAAAGAACAAGATCTTGTCCTTTGCAGGAACATGGATGGAGCTGGAGGCCATTATCCTTAGCAAACTAACACAGGAACAGAAAACCAAACACTGCATGTTCTCACTTATAAATGGGAGCTAAATGGTGAGAACACACGGACGCATAGTGTGGAACGACACACACCGGAGGGCGGAGGGTGGGGAGGGAGAGGATCAGGAAAAATAACTAATGGGTACCAGCCTTAGTACCTAGGTGATGAAATCAGCTGTACAACAAACCCCCATAACCTGAGTTTACCTATGTAACAAACCTGCACATGTACTCCTGAACTTAAAAGTTTAAAAAGTGAGAAAGTCACAGCTGGGTGATAAAGCTTCACTGGCATTGCAGGACAGTTCTCCTGGGCCTTGGACTAACCCAGTTCTCCTGCTCTCTCACTTGCAGTGCCGGAGAATAACTAGAACGTCCTGGAGCGCAGCATGTCCTGGTTAGATAACGGGGGACTAACCAGAACAGTCTGGCTCTGTCCCAGTTGCCCCTAGAGACAGGAAATTCTTCAACACTTTAGCCCGGCAAGTCATGTTCCCCAGGGTATAAAACCCAGGGCCAGCTTCGACCACTTGAAGACACAACTCTATCCACCCAGGCAGCTTTCCTGAGCCTCAGGGGAGCAGCTCCTCATGAATCCCAGGCTTCTGTTGTCTTTTGCTGCCTATCTATAACAAAAAAATCCACTTCGTGTAACTTGCTGTGTGTGTGTGAGTTTCTGTCTCACAAAACTCAGACAAGTTGGTAACCAGTACATAGTGACCCTCCTTCACAGAGGTTAAAGGGAGAAGGTTCATCAGTGATGATTCTGAAAACTAATGGTTCTGAGAGAAGTTAGAGGCTAGGACCACCAAGAACTTATGGTAGGCCAGACATGGTGGGTGGCTCATGCCTGTAATCCCAGCACTTTGGGAGGCCGAGGCAGGCAGATCATCTGAGGTTAGGAGTTCAAGACAAGCCTGGCCAACATGGTGAAACCCCGTCTCTACTAAAAATACAAAAATTAGCCGGGCATGGCGATGCGTGCCTATAGTACCAGCCACTTGGCAGGCTGAGGTGGAAGAATTACTTGAACCTGAGAGGCGGAGGTTGCAGTGAGCCGAGATTGCACCACTACTCTCCAGTCTGGGCAACAGAGCAGGACTCCGTCTCAAACAAAACAAAACAAAACAAAACAAAACAAAACAGAATGAGAGAGAAAGAGAAACCTTCCACATGCTGCTGGGGGGTTAGGGGGTGTTAGAGGCTCCCCAGCTGTGCTCCCTGCAAAACCCCACCTTGCCCACTTTTCACACTGTGTTACCATCTTGTATTCGCTGATCGGTCTGTGCCCTCTGCTAGCTGGGCTCGCCGGAGGGCAGGGAGAGTGGCTGAATCTCCGTCATCCAGCATAGCCCTGGGCATAGCGCATGTTTGTTTAGCCTAACTCTCTTCTGGCTGCTCACCCCAAAGAGCTCACGTGGGTCATTCTACCCATGCTGAGACTGGGAGAGACGATTGTAGGCGCAGGTCATATTTCAAGTGTGAATAAATGTTTCTTCATTGGCTACCTCGAGTCTAGTCCTGCACTCAAACCTCAAGTGCTTCATTGTTTCAAATTTCTTCTAGGATTAAGCTGGTTCATTAAATATGGTATTATGATCCCAGGACACAGCAAACCATGAACATGAAATGACCACTGAGAAGCTCATGACTTCATCAATCTATCAGACACCCTCCCACCTCCGGGCCTTTGCCTGTGCAGTCCCTTTTGCCAGAACAGCCTTCCGCCCCCAGCCCCTGTGGGTGACTGGAACATTCTTCCTCATTGATATAGTTTGGTTTGTTTGTTTGTTTGCTTGTTTATTTTTGGTTTTGGTTTTGGTTTTGGTTTTTGAGACAGAGTCTTGCTCTGTTGCCCAGGCTGGAGTGCAATGACAGGATCTTGGCTCACTGCAACCTCCGCCTCCCAGGTTCAAGTGATCCTCCTATCTCAGCCTCCCAAGTAGCTGGGATTACAGGTGCCTGCCACCACGCCGGGCTAATTTTGTATTTTTAGTAGAGACAGGGTTTCACCTTGTTGGCCAGGATGAACTCAAACTCCTGATCTCAGGTGATCCGCCTGTCTCGGCCTCCCAAAGTGCTGGGATTACAGTCGTGCGCCACCACGCCCAGCCAGTAATCAATAGAGTGTGGATGTATGCCCTTGTTCGAATCTCATGTTGAAATGTCATCTCCAGTGTTGGAGGTGGGGCCTAGTGGGAGGTGATTGGATCATGGGGACAGATTTCTCACAGATGGTTTAGGACCATCCCCTTGGTACTTCCTTGTGGTAGGGAGTGAGTTCTTGGGAGCTCTAATCATTTAAAAGTGTGTGGCTCCTCCCCTCCTCATTCTCTCCCTCCTGCCATCCTGTGAACCGCCTGCTCCTGCTTCACCTTCCACCATGAGTAAAAGCTCCCTGAGGCCTCCCCAGAAGCAAATGCCACCACGCTTCCTGCACAGCCTGCAGAACCAGGAGCCAATTAAACCTTTCTTATGAATTACCCTGTCTCAGGTATTTCTTTATAGCAATGTGAACGAGAATGGCCTCACAGACTCATCTTCCAGATGAAACATCTCTGACCCCAAGGCAGCCTCAGATGCTCCTCCACCTTTGCTCCCTACTGTGGGTCATGGGTCACCGGGCTTGAGAGTGTGGTCTTCCTATCAGACCACCTGGATTCAAAGCATGGCTCTGCTACTTCCTACCTGTGTGACCTTGGGCAGGCTACACAACCTCTCTGTGCCTTCATTTTCTTCTATACCAAATGGGCATAATACTAAAACTGATTTCATAGGATTCTTGAGAGGAGTTCACAATAGGACACATGTAAAGCACCTGGAATGATGCCTAGGAAACACAGTGTTCAGTGAACGTCAACTGTGATCACTTATACACACCACTGCACTGTAGGCTCCTAGAGGGCAGAAATTCCATATTATCACTGAATTCTTTCCAAGGAGAGTGCTGAATGATTACATAAGAGAAAGAGAAGGAAGGGAACAGACAGGAATTATCAAATTATGCATCTGGCATCTCAGATATATAATTGTGCCTAAATCAATAAGGCAATTTCACTACCTTAAATGTAGAATAAATGTCAGAAACAATAACAGGCATTGGCCTTGACCTTGATTGAGCCTACTGAGGAGTCACGGTCATGGTCACAGTCTGTTGTGGGACTCTTGGGACTGGAACCAAGCAGAGTGTGAATCCGTCACTGGTGAGCAGAAAAAACCTGGTGGGTGGAAAGCATGTGGGTCTCATAGATGGTGCTTTGGGTTCCTGCTCCATTACTTATGAATTGAGTCGACTGGGGCAAGTTCCAGAAACTCTCTCAGTCTCAGTTTCCTCCCAGGGATGATCCACTTACTCCTGTGGATCAAAAGAACTATACTGATTCCCATAAGTAAAGTGTCTAGGTATTCAG